AACCACTGAAGACGTTATAGAAAAAGTGTAACAGGAAGCGAAAGATCGAAGTAGTGAAATTCTTGGTCACAGCTATATTAGATATAATGACTTCATTATTCTAATAACGACTGCTTTGGACAAACAATTTAAAAGAATCAGGGATAATAATTTCGAATGACGTTTCCATGACTTGTTCATCATTTTCAAATTCGTAAAAACTAAAAGTCAGATTCTTATCAATTCTTTACATACTAAAAATGCGAGTGAAACTCTCGTCCTTGTAAATGACATTTCCAACAAATTTCTTCGAGGACCGCTTCCAATACTTACTTTGCTTCAGCGATCTTAGTGAACATTGGAAATAGACCAAAATTGTGGCATAGCTTGAGGAATTCGATTAGCAATTTGCAGCAAGTCAGCAGAGGGGGTACGATTGGGTGGGGGTGGGCAGGGACACCCATTACATCCACACCCTCCACCTCACATCTCCTCCTCCTCAACCCACCCATCCACATATTTATACTCTACTTAGGCTCCACTCTAATAAACGACTACCTTCTTGATTGGATTTAGAATTACGAGTTCCTAATTTTGGGTGAAAATTTCTTGCACTTGCCTTGCATGCCAATTATTTGGTTTTAATCAGTAACGGTGGACGGCACAACTGGGCGGTTTGAAACCAAATCTTATTTACGTTTACAGGTCCTCCTAGCACTGTCCAAGTGGACGGCGCCTACAAGGAAGCAATTACAACGGACGAAGAACCACTAAGCAAAGGCGACATGAATCCTCTAGGAATAAATACGTTTGATATGCGCTTTATGAAAGCTACAGTGACTCTTACCAATGCTTACCTCAAAACGTAACGTCGAACAGCGGTCCCTGGGAGAGATTTGAAACAAAAATAAAGAAGTACGCTCAAAACATGCGTGGATGTGGTACTTGAAGGGGAACCCTCTATCTCCTGACCGGAACATCCAAAAATGGTGTCACTCTCACTGCTAAACGTCGACCTGTTCAAGATTCAACTATACGACCAACCTACCGTACGACAAGTTTTCCAAATGCAGTAAAACTACTACTAAGTTTTGGGAAGTAAAATGCTTCGAATCGTCAAACTGTACGAAAACCGTAGAGACTAAAAATGATCCTGCAGAAGAAAGAGTGACGGCGTGAATCAAAGTTTCATTTTTCATTGTTATTCTTTAATTACTAGTAAGCATTTAGAATAAATCGTTAGATGAAGTATACTAACATTTTTGGCTACAAACTTTTGTTTGATCTAGATCAAGAGATTATCAAGATAAGAGAGTGAATGCCCCATATAGGCCTTATACCAAAGGTAATCCCTCTTAAGGTATTTTTAGACATAATACCCAGTTCTTCCGAGGATGTTTCTCGCGCGACGTTTACCGTTGTCGTAATCTTTGTGACCCTTTTATTTTTATTACTTTCCTCTTTGCAGTTTTGACTCCTGAAAACTCGGATTTTTTTCAATGTATGCCTGTGTCATCAGCTGTTGACAAGAAATCATCATGAGAAATTGTTTTACGAACATTCTTTAACGTTATTAATAAAAGGAAATCCATAAATTCAGATAGAAAAATATTTTTACTCTACGCGCTAGATGAAAAGTGATTATTAGCATTCATCGGTTGAACGAAGAGATAAGACCTGGGAAAGATTTTCCAATAACTATCTAAACAAATCGGCTGTTGCATTGCATAACAGTGTGGCGAATAATAAAATGGTAGCTCGAAAAAGAGATAAAGAGATTTGCTTTGATCAGCCATTTCTAAACCACCAGAATCATTTTGTAATTTCGTTCCTTAACCAAAATCGAGAAAACGCTCAGGCTTTCTTACTAAGATGACCACATCTTTATGCCTTTAATACCACTTGATTCCCTTCAATGAATCTCACTACATTTTTCACGCATCAAGTAAATTGACTTGTGGGAGAACACGATACTTGGCTTTTTAAAAGCTTATATTAACACGATGTTGTAAGGGTCTTATAGTGGCCCCGTTAGTTTCTCATTGAAATTCCATGACATAATAAACGTTGTTAATAAGAACAAACGTCTCGATTCTTAGCACTTTCAAACCCTGCACAGTGATGGGAGGAAAAGTTTTAATTTTCATTGTCGCTGCCGTTGTAGTGCCCACAGCTGTATTCTCGAAGGAAACTTGTGGAGAAAGTAAGTTGTAGCTTGTAAACAGAGTTTTTTAAAGACGTTGATAGATAAGAGCGAAAGTACAAATATTTACTGCAAACTCTGTGCGCGTTAGCAAGGTTGACCAACTCCTCATTTCTGTGATAAATCCAACTCTGCTATGTTTATTTATTCCCTTGACTATTAATTAAACCCTGTTAATAAACTGCTCGGCCTCAAGATAACAACCGAAAACAGTTGATGAATTAGGTGAGCTATTTTTCACGAGAAATGTTTACCTTGGTTTTGTTTTAACTTTACTGAAGTGAAATTTTTAATCGTGTAAACACAGTAGCAAACCTCGGTAAATGCCGACAAAATCAAAAGTGAGCCAACCTTTGAACGTCTCATCAGGCATGGTTTAGCTCAGTAACCGACGGTAACGCAGGAAAAGCAGACATTGTCGCGATATCTTTGCGGCAATTGCTCCCGTGTTCAGAGCGAAAGAAGAGAAAAATAGACAAAGATTCCTCCTAACAAAGTAGGTTTCAAATCAACGGGCAAAAAAAGCTAAATTAACTCATGTTTAGACAAAGAAATCCCGGACTGCTGTTTCCCGTTCATCGTCAACTGCCGTAAGCGTTTTCTTTCAGTTAGAAGCTCAGTAGCTTAGTAGCAGTGTACATGCAGGCGGAACTGGAAGAAGACCTGCCACAAAGTGACAGAAAAAAAAATCATACTTGAGGTCTATGGAGAAAAAAAGCATATGTTAGAATTTAAAGCGGCCCCGAGGAGAAGAAGTACTAGTAAACATCTACGTAGCCCGGGCTCCGCGGCAGATGCCGGCAGGTTTTTTGCGGAAAGAAGCTCAGCAAGATATCAAAATTTTCTTTCTACTATTCATCTACAAAGCTTTACATTTATGGAGAGTTTGGCTCGACATCACTCAGCTGCCTGCAAATTGACAACGACCTGCGTTCGGCATCGGAGTAAAGTCAGAAATCGTATAATTTTCCAATAGTTTCTGTGCAACATTACAGCACTCGCTTTCCGTGAAAAACATAAAGCCGTCCGTTGTATGCGGCCTACCTAAGTCAATAGAGTGTGTGCATTGTCACGCAATAGAAAATAAAATCAAAAACCATTCAGTGGATAAAGTCAAGAAATTGTTATATCATAGACGATAAATAAAGAAGACAGTTCTCCAAGTTTAAGGTGTGTGCGTTGTCCCAAAGTTGAGATATTCGTCGAAATGTTCCGCGCAAAATTACAGAGCCTAGCCCTCCAATATGGCGGCTGAAAAATAGTGTAAACATCTGGAACTTGCTTTGGCTATCTAGACAACTGATTATCTAACCCGAACCAAAGGACATTTACACAAGCACTTTTCCTAGTACTTTAACTCCTAAAATAACTAAAAGTCACGAGATAAGTGCATATTTTTCGACAAACGCGATCTTAGCTTCATGTCACGCACCGCCATAACTCCGAAATTCAAAATGCTCTGGTTTTCAAACGAAGGACGCTATTGAGCTGGAAAGTTGTAAACACAGATAAATTTAGTACCTCTTGTGCCTGATGAGGATGAAACCTTCAGGGACTCTTTAGTTTTGGATTTGAGAATTTGATGACGTCACGTGAACACACTCTATTAGTTCCGTGTAAACAGCTTCTCTAACAACTACGGTTTAGTTACGAAACCTCGGTAAGCAGTAACCGTAGTAAACCTCTCTCGTGAAAACACGGCATAAGAGGGGAAGCTAGAGTAACCTAATACCTTTGAACAGCTAATATCTCCAACATAAATTGTTGTGTGTGGCCTGTGGGAAAAAAGTCCATTCCCCTTCTCTAAGCGCTATACGATATTAATTCCTTTTAGGGAAAATATAACGGCGAAATCGGCAAAATTGGCATAATTTGCAAAATCTTTTGTTGTTTCCCTATAACGTAAAAAAGAAACACTTTTACAATGTGAGTCACTAGCGTAGCCTATTTTTTTGTACAGAGATAGAATCGCAATTCGAAGTAAATTTCTTAAAAGAAAAGTCGAAAGTTAGGAAATTTCCTGGCTTCTGCGAAAACAGAACAAAGGTAAAGAGATCCTTCCTCGCTTAAGGAAATACTGAGCTTTGATATCTTGTCTCGCCGAACGGCCACCTGGACGGGCACCAGCGAGTTGTGTTACAACTTTCCCAGTTTCACTTTCTAGCCTTAGTTTTATCTCAGCAAATCATATTTAATTTACTTTGTCAATGCCATTCATCGATTGAATTTATCTTATATTTTCCACTTTTTCATTTGCAAGAATCCCCAAGTAAAAGGAAGAATGTTCGCAGAATGTTGTGGGGCGACTCCGTCCCCCCTTTTTTTGCTGGAAACAAGCGTCCAACGGGCCTTCCGAGGATCGCTACTCGAGGAAGGGAAATACAACAGAAGCTACCTAACGATCCTGCTAAAACGCCTCCATATTTTGTATCGTGTTTTGATCCGGATGAAAACACCGCTTTCTATTCAGCGTACAAAGTTACTCCTGAGCAGGCCAAAGNCTGCTAACACGCCTCCATATTTTGTATCGTGTTTTGATCCGGATGAAAACACCGCTTTCTATTCAGCGTACAAAGTTACTCCTGAGCAGGCCAAAGATCTTGGAAAGTTTAGCCGGAACAGCATCAAAGTTAACAGCTGGAGAACTCCAGGTATTTCCTTTGAATGTTTTCTTAAGGCCCTGGTCGAACAGACTCGCAAGTAGTTGCAATGGCCGCAAGTTGAACTTGCGTAGAGACCTGCGTTGGGTGGCCAAAGGGAGTCCCAAGTTTCCCTGCAAGTACGCGCCAGCTGCAAAAAAAAAAAAAAACGATTCCAAGACTATGGGCATAGTGCCGCGCTGCAATATCCTGTATTTTATTGGCTAAAAGGTTACTACAGTAACGAATAGACGTCACTCGACCTGCAAAGACTTGGGTTGGGTGGCCAAACGGTGACTGAAAACTTGTCTCTACTTGCGTGCAAAGAGTGAGCGCAGGTCATAGCATGTCAAAGCGAGTGTACGCAAGACCAGGCCAAACAGAGTTGCAAGTAGACTGCTTCTACTTGTGAGTGCGTTTGGGCAGGACTTTATGCCCCATTCTGTTAAGAATAGTTAATAAACAAACAAAACAAAATGTAAAGAATGCAGAAGTTCGGTAAACAATCTCGCTGTTTTCACTGAAATACTAATTCATATTGAAAGTTCAGTTTCAGTATATAATATAGACGAAGGCATACAAAACGTACTATGTAATAATATACCCGCTGCATGCCCCTCAGAGAAATGTGGACGTGAGTAAAAAGGATAATTGCATGTAAACTGATGCGACTGTAAATTAAGAATTAAAATGATCGAGCGAATTTTATTAAATTTTTCATTTAACTTGGCCGAATCAGCCGTTTAAGCGCGTTTGTATGACCGTCGTTTTCCCTACCCTTTCCTACACTTCAACTTGGGAAAACCCTACCTTTTTACACACCTCCAGCCTAAAAGAAAACCATTTGGAGGTTCGTCGTATATTCCCTCATGGGAAACTACCCCCGGGTTTAACCGAGCTTCTAAGACAATCTGATGCTCACTATTTTTAGGATCCAGGATATTGGATGTTACTAACATTAGCAGTATCGTGTAATCATCAACATCATCTTTACATAACGGTTAGTTAGTTCTTAACATCGCATTTACGTTCACAGGTGTCCCCGCCCTGGACAACGCCTACTCTACTGCAATTACGGACACGAGTGGAAGTCCGCTAAGCCGAGGACACATGAACCCCTTGACGCTGAATACGTTTGACAAAAGTTTCATGAAAGCTACATTCACTCTTTCTAACGCAGTACCACAGTTCGAGACATCTAACAGCGGACCATGGCAGGCATTTGAGACACGAATACGTAATTACGCAAAGAACACGTGTGGTCCTCAAGGTGGAACCTTGTATCTTCTGACAGGAAAATCTAACTACGGAGTCCGCATTCAAGCCGGCAGTCCTGTCCAAGACACCACCACAGTTTTGCCTTACCGCAGGGAAAATTTCCCTGGAAATGCTGGAAATGTAAAACTTGTCACTCCTCGTGCTGTGTGGACAGCAGGCTGCTGTGTGTGGGAAGAACCCGGCAAGTATTTAGGAAAATTGTGGCCGACGAAGAAAGTGGAATCCTTTGCAGTCATGAGCAATAACAAGGATGACGACGCCTTGTTGCATCAGACGGAGATGAGCGTGTCTCAGTTAGAGAGGCTTCTTAGACCACCACCCTTGGAGGGGGTAAATTTGTTTCCAGGGAATGAAAATTGTCGAAGCGCTAAGAATGATATAGCACTGCCTCAATAGCAAGTCGATACAGTTTGGACCAGTTTGCGAGCCTTTAGTTTCCCCAACCTCGAAGAACCCGTTTTAAAAAGAGCACGTGCGATAGGACAGACTTGAAGGACATAAAAGAGCGGTTCCTCAAGGAATCAGTAGACACTCCATATTTACTAGAATATTTAGCCCTGTTTATATCGTCATCAGGCATGTTCCCAGGAATTGCGTAACCCATAATTCCTATTATATAATGTAATCATCCCATAATTCTTATAGTAGTTTTTTGTTTTCGAAACACATTTTAGAATAAAACTAGCGATAAAAACCGGCGTTTTGATCGCCCTGAGATCATCTCCAAGTTGTAGAAAAAGCGAATACATATATAAGTACAAATTAGGGCGTGAGAATGTCCAACGATAAAATATGTAAACACAAGCGCTAAAATGTAAGTGTTAAAATAAAATACTATAAAAAAGTATATAAATAACTTGGTACCGATTGAATCTGACTGTTTGGTTCACATCAAGTTTGCACGTAAGTAGACACAAGTTTTTCAGTCACCGTTTCGTCAACCAACCCAAGTCAATGCAAGTTGAGTGTCGTCCATTCGTTACTATAGCAACCTTTTAGCCAATGAAATACAGGATACTGCAGCGCGGTACTAAGCCCATACCCTTGAAATGTTTTTTTTTTTTCTTTTTTTTTTCTTTTTGCGGCTAACGTGTACTTGCGAGGAAACTTGCGAGTCCCTTTGGCCACCCAACGCAAGTCTCTACGCAAGTTCAACTTGCGGCGATTTGCATCTACCTGCGAGTCTGTTTGACCAGGGCTTAAGGTTGCTGAACACAGTTTTTGATACCCGTCTTTCATTCCTCTTTTACTCTAAAACCCTTGATCCTTTGGTCGCCAGAAATGGCAACATGCAATTTAACAACACAGACTTCGGGTTGTTAATAGTTAAGCTGACGTACCTGCCGTTACCGTAGCAACATGTATAAATAAAAAGAGGCTTTTAAAATCGGTTTTGCTTATTTACAGAAAATCTAGCCATTAGATTTTCTTTATCATTTGCATGCAACAAGCTTGTAACGGTGCTCACAAGTTAACACCATTTTAATAATAGTTTGACAGAGAAATCTTTAATTATCCCTAGTAGGAGGTTAACTGGAATATCCAGAATTTCCTTTGTCAATGTTTTTTTTTTTTTCAATACTCCGTTACTCATTTCGTGAAGTATTTTCGGGCCAAATTTCTTGAAATTCTAATGAGTGGGTCTTCAGAAATAGGCGTATTTCCGAGAAATCAATTCCGCATTCAATCGCAATTTTTTGACTTACTACGCATGCGCTGCATTTAAATGGTTCTTTCGGTAACAGAGAAAAATCTGCGAATTGCGGTTTTTTTTACACCGCTACCTTTCTAACATACATTTCTCATAAAAAGCTAAAACCATAAATACACTGTGTTCACTTATAAAAAAAATAACACAGATAGTGCGGGCATTGGCCAAATAAAATGATCGCTCTATCGACACCACGTTTGTTTTTCTGGAGTTCTCCAGCTGTTAACATTGATGTCGTTCCGGCTAAACTTTCAAAGATCTGTGGCCTGCTCAAGAGTAACTTGGTATGCTGAATAAAAAGCAGTGTTGTCATCCGGATCAAAACACGACACAAAAGAAGGAAGCGTGTTCGGAGGATCGTTAGGTAGCTTCTGTTGTATTTCCTATCCTCGAGTAGCGGTCCTCGGAAGGCCCGTGGGACGCTTGTTCCCTGCGAAAAGTGGGGGGACGGGGTCGCCCCAAAATATTCTGCGAAATCTCTTCCATTTACCTGGGGATTCTTGTAAATGAAAAAGTGGAAAAATAAAAAAATTCAATCAATAAATGGCGTTTGATTCGCTGAGATAAAGGCTACATAGTGAAACTGGGAAAGCTGTACCTCAACTCACTGGTGCCCGTCCAGGTGGTCGTTCGGAGAGACAAGATGTCGCTGCTATTTCCTTAAATCTGTTAACCTTTTGTTCTGTTTTAATAGAAGCTAGTAAATTTCCTAACTTTCGACTTTTCTTTTAAGAAATTGGCTCGAATTGTGATTTTATCTCTGCACAAAAAATTAGGTTATTCTAAGTGACTCACATTGTAAAAGTGCTTCTTTTATACGTTATAGGAAAATGACAAAAGATTTTGCAAATTATGTCAATTTTGCCGATTTTGCGGTTAACATATTTTCCCTAACAGGAATTAATATTGATATCGTATAGGGCTTAGAGAAGGGGAATGGACTTTTTTCCCACAGTGGAAAGAAAAATTTATGTTGGAGATATTCAGGCTGTTTAAAGGTATTAGGTTACGCTAGCTTCCCCTCTTAAATAGCTCATCTATATTCATCCATTGTTGTCGGATGTGATCTCGAGGCCGAACAGTTGACAGAGCTCAGTCAACTCTGCTATCTTTATTCCCTTATCATAGACAAGGGAATAAAGATAGCAGAGTTGAATTTATCACATAAATGAGGAGTTGGTAAACCTGCTAACGCGCAGAGAGTTTGCAGTAAATATTTGTAGGTTCGTTCTTATCTATCAAAGTTTTAAAAAAAACTCTGTTTATAAGCTAGTACTTACTTTCTCCAGAACACAGCCGTAGGCATTACAACGGCAGCGACAATGAAAATTAAAACTTTTCCTTCCATTTCTGTGCAGGCTTTGAAAGTTGTTGTTAATTATGTCATGGAATTTTAATAAAACTAGCGGGCCAATCTAAGACCCTTACGACATCGTGTTGATATTAGCTTTTAAAAGGCCGAGTATTGTGACCTCCCACAAGTCAATTTACTTGTAGTGTGAAAGATTTAGTGAAAATCATTCAAGGGAATCAAATAGTATTAAAAGCATAAAGATATAATCGTCATCTTAGTAAAGAAAGCCTCAGGCTTTTCTCGATTTTGGCTAAGGCATGAAATCACAAAATGATTTTGGTGGTGTAAAAATGGCTGATGAAAACAAAACGTTTTGGGCTACCATTTTATTAGTTGCCATTTTCAATTAAATAACATTATTATACAATTCAATTGGTCATTTGTTTAGATAGTTTTTAGAAAATCTTTCCTAGGTCTTATCTCCTCGTTCAAACCGGTGATTGTTAATAATCACTTTTCATCTAGCGTGTAGAAAAAAATAGTTTTCTATCTGAAATGATTTCTTTTTATTAATAATATTGAAGAATGTTCGTAAAACAAGCATTTAATTTCTCATTCTTGTTGAGTGTAGAAATAATAACTTCAACTGCGTGAAGATGAGTTTTTGTCAATGACACAGGTATACATTGAAAGAGAAATCCGGGTTTTCAGGAGTCAAAACTGCAAAGAGGAAAATAATAAAAATTAAAGGGTCACAAAGATTACGACAGCGGTAAAATTGCTAAATTTCACATGATCCTAAAAGCGTGTCATATTCTTTATGAGAAATCAGTATTTGAATCACAAGCGAATCTAACATTAGCTCGTTAGGGCG